CTCCTCCCCGGGGAGCGCAGGAAGGAATGGGCGGGGTTCCCAGGTGCCGGGCCACGTCATCCGGCCCCCAGCTCTTCCCTGGCCCACCCTGGAGCTCAGGGACAAAGGCCTGGCGAGCGGCCACCTCCCGAAGGCTGCCGGGTGCCCGGGCTGTGCAGTGACTGCGTGGACGGCCCGCGGAACCGGCGGGAACCGCAGTGAAGCGTTCCCGGCCAATAACTGAGGGTTTCACCGCAGGCTGCCGCGCCCAGCAGGAAGCCGGGCGCGGTGGGCGCTGCTGGAGGAGCCCTGGGACGTCCGGGCGGAGGCCCAGCCCTGCAGGGCCCTTCCTGGTCAGCTCCAGGCCTGGTCTCATCGCTGCTGACCCTGAGCTCCAGCGTCAGGCTGGACTCAGCAAAGCCCAGCCCGCGTGCCAGGGCGTCTTGGTGCCTGGCCATTGGCTGCAGAGCCCACAGGGGACCTTTGTCCAGCCCTGCCTCACAGCTGGCCTTCCTCTTGAGGACCCTGACCTGGGCATCTGTAAACACCCAGGGAAAGGACACCAAGGGACTTTTCCAGGACACTTTTTTTTTTTTTTTTTTGGTCTTTTTGAGACAGGGTCTCCCTGTAGCCCCAGCTGCCCTGGAACTCACTATGTAGACCAGGCTGACCTTGAACTCACAGAGATCCGCCTGCCTCTGCCTCCCGAGTGCTGGGATTAAAGGCGTGCGTCACCACGCCCGGCTGGGACACTATTTTAAAAACAAACTGAAATGCTTAATAATTATGTCAAAGATCTGTCATCAGCCTAGAGGGAAGGAACTACAGTAACTCTGAGTAGGTCTTAAAAGCATAGCCAGCAGCAGTTAAGACCACTGGCTGCTCTTGCAGAGGACCCGGGTTCGAGCCCCAACACACATGGACGCTAATAACTGTCTAACTCCAGTTCCAGGGAAATCCAAGGCTCTCTCTGACCTCGGCAGGCACTACAGAACACAGGTGCATTTACACACATGTAAGCAATACACTCACACGTACAATAAAAATTTTTTTTTTAAAGAGCCAGGTTGGGGGCCTGCAGGTCAAGGTACAGAGAATTCCTTGGTCCTGGGCTGAGCCTGATTCAAAGGTAGCCTAATCAGCATGGAGGCTGCCTGGCCTCTGCGGCTTGCATCAGTGTCCATGAATCCAGACAAGTAGTTAACGTCACTGACTTAAAAAGGACAGTTTTACTCCTACTTGGTGGAAGAGTATATGGGCTTTTTCCCCCATGTCCTGGTTTTAGACAGCCTCCTCAGGGCATGTGGGACCCTGACTCATCTAACCGCTTCTTCTTCTGTAATTTGCTTGGCTTAAGGCAGCACTAACTCCATTTTGACTAGCTATAGATCAAGCAAGCCTGGGCATATAGCAGCCTTATAAGGTAAAAACAGAAACTTCTGACCTCACAGATAACAGTCAGTGCATTCCAATGCCCTAAAGACAGCCCCTACCAATAAGAATCCTCCCTGTACCCAGGCCATAGGACCATCTAATCATTTTAAAGGATGCTTGGCACACACGGGCTTCTGTGAAACTTTCCTATAAAAGCCCACCCCACCCTAGATCGGGGCTCTCAGTACGGATCCACTGCGTAGGTGAAATCTGAGGGCCCGAGCTTAAGTCCGAATTAAGGCTCTTTGCTGTTGCATACACTCCAGACTCCTTGGTGGTCATTGGGGGTCACGAGATCTGAGCGTAACAGGCACAGACCCTGAATCCTCATCTGGGACTCCCCAAACCCAGGAGAGGCTCACAAGGACCCATCACAGGGCCTGAGCCATTATGGAAGGAATCAGAAGCTTGGGTTTGTCTGGCCCTGGCTGGAGTCTGGCTGTGTAACAGGCAGGCCCAGCAGTCCTGAGCCCCTGCTTCCTGGTTTTGGAAATCCTGTGAGGTTGGGGTTTGGGAATCACTTGGCAGTTCTTTTGACGGGGACCCTGTAAGGCTCAGGGGACAGCAAATCTGTTGTCTGTCCTATTTCCTCCAAGTGAGAGAAGGATTTGAAGATGGGAGCTCCAGGCTGGGGTGGAAAGTTGGGGACCAGGCTCATGCTGTCCATGGTCTCCCTCACCCTATGCCAGGGAATCAGGCCACATGGTCTCCCAGGGCTCCTCACTCTGTGCTCTTTAGTAAGTCCCCATGGCAATCCAGGAGTCATGGTTCATGGCTGTAATCTCAGCAATTTGGAAGCAGAGGGAGAAGATCCTGAGTTCCAGGCTAGCCTGACCTACACAGCAAGATCCTGAAAAAAAAAAGTCCCCCATGACCCATGCAGCAGGTGCTTTCCAAGTGCCCACAAAAAGCCCCACTCTCGGGCTATAGTTTTGGCTCAGTGGTAGAGGCCTTGCCTAGTATGTACCAACACCACAAACATAGGAGTCCCCATCTGCTCCCAGGCACTTCAGGAGCCGCAGGTTATGGTGCAGATATGACCAAGTCTGAGAACCACACTGTGCACATCCTGCCTGGAAGACGACCCAGAAGTGGCATCAAGAAACTCCAGTCACAAAGAGATGACTCTCTTAAGGGGGTTGACCCCAAGGTCCTTAGGGACATGTGTTTTGCCAAGAAGCACAGCAAAAAGGATCAGAAGATGAAGGCAGTTGGGGCATGGTGATGTAGGCCTGTAACCCCAGTACTGAGGAGGTAGAAGGAAGAAGATCAGGAATTGAGGGTCATCCTCAACTACAAGCGAGTTCAAGGCCAGCCTGGGCCACATGAGACTCCCACCCCAACTCCAAAAAGCGAAAGGAAAAGAGATGTGAACCAGGAATGCGAAGGCCATGAGTTTCTGTGCTGAGGCCATGAAGGCCTTTGTAAAGTCCAGTGAGATTAAGCCTAGATCCTAAGCCTGACAACCATAAGCTCAGCTGACCTGGTTTCATGACCCACCCCATGCTTGGGAAGGATTCTTGTGTCCACATTGCTGAGGGTCACAGGCTTTGCCCACCAAAGACCAACTCCCAAACCAAGGCCCAGACTGCAGCTTCAACTCCATCTCCAGCTCTCAAAGGTGCCCAGGTCTCTACAAAGGCCCCATAGTAAAAGTTTCTGCCAATGTGAATTGGACAAATGGGCTGGTGTGACACCTGCCCCCGAAAGTTGTCTCCAGCAGGTGCCTGGTATCTGGTGCTATTTCTACAAAGAAACCAAATAAGTAAGAAGAAAACTTTCCCTCCTCCTTGAGAAACTTCCAGTAGATACTAATTCCAATGGAATCATGGGCAGAAGAGCCTGATGAACTCATCTGAATAAAATGTTTTCTAAATGGAGTTGTGAGGACTTTCTGGTATACAAACACTCCTTAGGACACATTTTGTTTTTCTGAGACAGGGTTTCATACAGCTCAAGCTGGCCTTGGATTCCCTATGCAACCAAAGATGACATAGGTTCAATTCCCAGCACCACAAAAAAGGGGGTGGGGGATAACAGCAGAGCTCAGCCACAAGGGAGTATCCACACCATGGTCTTGCTGCTTACCAAGGAGAGAAAGAGATTGGTTGTCACCAGTTATCAAAGTGGGGGGGTGAAGAAAGAGGGTGGGGCAGAAGGCTTCTAGATTTGGGATTTGGCAATAATTTCTTGGATATAGTCCAGAAACACAGGAAACAAAAATAAAAATAGAGCTAAGAATGTAGCTCACTTGGTAGAGAGCTTGCCTAGCACGTAGAAAGCCCTATGCTAAAAATCCCATCACTGGGGAACACTTGCTGCTCTTGCAGAGGACCCAGGTTCAGATTTCAGTACACATGTAATACACTTACATACATGCAGGCAGAATACTTGTACACATAAAATAAACCTTTGAAATAAACAGCACTGCTAAAAGAAAAAAAAGTCAATCAAAACGAAAGTGTTTTTGTGTTGTATGTTACTACTAAGAGAGTATAAAGGCCACTCAGAATGGGAAAAAGTATTTGTAATGATACTGTGGATAAAACACAGTTGGGAAACTGGATGTAAGAAAGCAAGGTGCCCTCACCAGCACAGAAGCAGGAATTCCAGCACAATTAATAAATGCTTAAAGCCTTTGAGGGCTGGAGAGATGGTTCCGTGGTTAAGAGCGCTGGCTGCTCTTGCAGAGGGCCTGGGTTCAGTTCCCAGCACCAACATGATGACTAACAACTGTCCATGACTCCAGTTCTAGTCCTAGGGGATCCCATGTCCCTTTTTGACCTCCACAGGCATTGCACAACACGGGTGCACTTACACACATATGGGCAATACACTCATATGCATAAAATAAAAATAATTTTTTTTTAAAAAAAAGAATATAAAGAACTTTTTT